GATCACTCTTTTTATATATATAAATCAAAACCAAAACTTATTTCATATAATAATTATTTATATAATGATATACAATAATTATAATATAGTGGCTATTTATATAATAATTTATATAATATCATTATATAAATAATATATAATATATAAAAATAAATACACAATATTACTTACAATATATAAATATAATATATACATATATTAATATTAATATAAATTATGTATAAAAATTTATATAAATAATATTAATGTAATGAATGTATTATATAATGATATAATGATTGTGTATATAATTATTTATATTATAATAATTATATTATTTATATGATAATAAACAGAATGATTTGCTATGGCTATAAACATAGACTATAAACAGAGAAATGGTTAAATAGTGCTTGTCAGCATCATTTTAAGCCTTGCTTAAAAATCATCCATTTTCACTACAATGGGTTTTGAAGATTTTAATCAGAAAAGGAGAAATTGTCTCACATGTATAATTGTTGGAAGAGAGAAGATATTTTCAAGTAAATACAGATGGAAAAACAGATTAGTGAGCATAAAGAGAAAGGAGATAATTAACCTCTAAGTTCCAGATATCCCAAAAAATCCTCCAAAGGATTTTCAAAGAGCTCCCAGGACATCCAGAAGGACCTGATAACAAAGTTAATGGCAAACACAGCATCTTCACTAGTTTGCACAAAAAAGGTACTTCCTATTAAACTTTTCACCTTGATGCTAGCAAAATCTTTCAAGTTTGAGTGTTTTTAAATTTAAAGTCTTTTTTTCTTACCCTCTATCTATTCACTTAAAGTCAAGAAAGCCGACACTTACTAGCTGATGTCTCACCTTGGGGGAATGCAGGCATCTGTGCTTCAGAGGAAACCTGAAAGCAGCGGTTTGATTTGTTTATCTGTGCTATTTCATCACAGCTCTTGTAGTTTTTGAGCAAAACAGCTTGAAATGAAATTACTCATGTTTTGAAACATGCTCTTGAGTGATACTGCTACAAAAACATAGTACAGATAAGCTGTACCCTCCTAATATGTTGGAAAATGTTTCATTTGCCCGTTTCCATCATATTGAAATTACCTGAGTCAAATGGGGTTTTTTTTGAGAAATTATTTGCAGAATTAAAAAATTAATCTGTATCTACTACTTACCTTTTTTTAACCACTCATGCGTGTTTTGTGACAGCTATTGGAGACTACTGTTTTTTTTCTTTTCCCCACTTCTTCTGTTTGTTTTGATGTAATAGCTTTTTAGTGACAGTTTTTTCTTCTCATGTTTTGTTTTCTCATGCTTATGCTTATTTTTCTTGTGTTTTATTAAAAGATTTCCTAGGTTTCTTTATCAGTGGTGGTTCCCCCCTGAGCGAGCCTTACTGCTCGCGATACGTTTGGGAGTCTCCTCTTCAGGAGCAGGGGCTGGGGAAATAAAAAGGAGCCTTTTTAATGTACAGATTTGCCGGGGAAATGAAAAGGAGCCTTTTTAATATACAGATTTGCAAAGGGAGGCCGGCAGCACTCAGAGCAACTAGCCCGTGCAGCTGGATCTTTGCAGGGGCCGATGACAGAGTTGGCTCAAGTGGGGCTCAATCCTGCAGAGCCGAACGCTTGCAGACGAACCTCCGAGGACTTGAACATCTGTAAATGTGTGTAAAAAGCAAAAAACAAATAGGTCTTAACCTCGTAGCAATTATTTTCACGCACAGGACAGGGCTAAGCTGTACGCTGTGGCAGTGCGGCCGTCCCAGGCCGCCTCGAGGAAACAGGGGGTTCCGCCATGTTGTACAGGTAGAGTGGTCGGCCTTCCTGCCAGCCAGGCCCACCGAAACACCTTCAGAACAGAAAGAGTTTGAGGTCTCTCTGGAAGCGCCTTAATCGGGCACTCAGGGAGACAGGATGTGAGCTAGTCCATCAGCCTGGCCCACAGCAACCACGCTAAGGCGCCACTCTCCAGGGAAAAAGCATGGGAGAGGTGAGGGCTCCTGCCGTGCACGGCCGCCTGTTTGCTGCTCGGGGAAACCGGGAGACTCTCATGGGACACCCCAGCTTAGCTGACTTAACAGTGACCCCCAGGCATCTCAGCAGGCCTGGGGCTGAGGTGGTCTCGGGAGAGGAGAGTGGAAGCAGCTGCTGCCAGGAGGCCGATGGTCACGAAGAGGCTTGAGCTGCGGCATCGCGAAGCCCCCTCTTGGCAGCTGCCCCGGGCCAGAGCAGCCCTGCAGAGCTCCTGGCTGGGCAAGGAAATGGGCGAGGAGAAAACTCAGAGGTCTTGCTGAGAGAGCTGCACCCGCGGCTGCCTTTCACCTGGGGGCTGCACCGTATTTAGGCTCTTGGGGACAGCAGCTTGCCCCTATTGCTAGGGCCCATTCTGGTGGTTGTCGTGTATTTGCTGCCTCCTGCTGGGGAAGGGAATCGGAGGCGCCCTGGTCCCTTGTTCTGAAACGTCTTGCATGTCTGAGGGTGCTGCATTTGACTGGCGCCTCAGAGCAGTCTGCACCTCAGTGCATTCCCTAAACCTCTTGCAAACTGGCATTTGGTGCATATAGATTCTCTGTGGTGACTGCTTTTTTCCTGAGCTTTCTCCATATGAACCAGCTGCCCGTGGACTTACAGACAGACTGCAAGCAGTTTTAAGGACAGAGGCAGCCTTTTGGTTTGCCTGCACATAATGTAGTAGGATGTGATATAGTATGTAGGGGTGAGGAGGAAGAGGGTAACTAATTTCAGGTATCTGAGATGGTAACAGGAGGATCCAAGGTAACATTAGTCCATTCCAGCATAACTCCTTTGCCTCTTTCTTGTCATTAGACACACAGCAGCCTCTCATGCTGCTTCTCGTGCTCCCCAGGCCAAAACCTATTGCGAACAGCTCGTACAGGAATAAATCTGCCTATCAGCTGGACTCAAGAGCTCCAGTTAAATCACCAGGCTCCTCCTTGTGTTTCTGCACATGTGCTTCCAGACATCGGTTTGGACCATCTGACTGAATGGGATATTACAGAGAGCAGGAGGATTTGCTCTATAGTTGCAATGCACTTGGATTTAAGAGACAAAGTAGGGACTTCACATTCCCCTAGCCTGGAATAAGGAGGTGTGTTGAATTTGTTGGCGAGGGCAACATGTGGCAAACCAAAAGGGGACTTGAGTATAAAAATGTGCTTGCTGGGATGCAGAAGGAATTAAACAAAAAAAATCCTTGTGTTAGAGCAGAGTATGGACTATGTGTTGGTCCCGAGGTTTGATTTACACTTCAGGGTCCCAAAAGAAAGGTGAAATTAATGGAGTAATTATAGAACTAATAGAATTGGGTAATCAATCATGGAGTTTGTCTCTTCTCTACAGTTTTGTAGTTCTCTTGGTCTGTATGAATACAAGGCTGTGAAATTAAGGCTGAATACCAAACATGATGGGAAAGAAGAGTTTTGTGATTCCAGCATGAAGTCTCCATCATGGTTTGCACTGAGTGTGCAAACAAAACATGCAATTTAACAGGCAATATTTTATTAGTCTTTCTTATGTAGTTCTGTAAGGGTAGGTAGTTAATAATTAAATTATTTGTATCACCTCCTAAATATTTGCATAAATGGTCTGTTAATCACCCCTTATGTACAAACAGGCCTTATGGTTGGACTCGATCTTGAGGGTTCTTTTCCAGTCATAATAATTCTATGATTCTATAAACTGTGTCTTCCCAGCATCTCACTGGGCAGGGGTTGTTTGGTTATGGGCGCTCAGTCACAGATTTGTTCTTTCCTTGTTGCTCACAGCACTTAGGGCATTAACAACATTGGTATGACTCTGCGGAAGTCAAAAGTTGTCCAGGAAGCTACAGGAATAAGAGAACATGAAATCTGTAGAGATTAATGCTTTATATGTTCAGGAAGCATGCATAGACAGTGGGTGTTTATGGTTTTATTTGTGGTCAGAGCAGTCAGTCCTGGTTGAAACCAAGGAGGTTTCAACCAAAACTGTTACCTCACAAAACCTGCCCACGTCTGTGTGTACCGACACAGCCTGTTCAGGCTCTATTCATGTCCAGCAGAAGCAGCTCTGTACCTCGACATGGTTTCTCACACTCTTCAGCACTGAAGAGTGCTGATCCCACTGGCTTTTGAAAGGAACTAATTGGTTCGTTCCCTATCTGCAAAAATCCTTGTTTTTTTTTTTTTCTGGAAAAAATGACAGCCTGATTGTCTCAGTTATCAGTGTGCTGAGGTGCAGAGACATCAAGTGAATGTCACTTCGAGAAGCACTAACTTGCTTGGAAACTCTCAGCATTTGTTCACTCACTTTCCGGCTCCCCTGCCCTCTCTGCAGCCGACCTCTCCATGCCCCGCACTGTAATTCGTAGTTGGGGCCACTCCACTGCCCCAGAGTTTTCCCTGTGTCAGGCAGTGGATGGGAGGTTCTCCCATTTGCTTCTTTCAGGAGGAGGCGGGTGACTTTCTCATCCTGTAACTGTTTCTGCAGTGGACTCCTGTTTGAATCATCTAGTATTTATCATGTGAACAGAAGATACACGGAGAGATTCTACTGCCGTAATATGTATTTTGAGTACCACTATCAAAATAAGGGACTGGGCAGTATATTTGTAAAATATCTCATAAATCAAACCCAGCACTAGTGTCTCATCGCTGTGTGGATTTTTTATTAGAGAAGAGTCCAGACTGCTTTTCTTGTGTCTGCCCTCCATCAAGATTTCTTCCTGTCAGGGAAGCTTTTAAGATCTGGCAGCATCACAATAGGGAATTAATACCAAGACTATTGAAGAGGTGCTCTGGATTTATGTATTCTCCTCTGCTCATGAAACCACAATAGTTAGCCGAATGGAGCTGCAGTTTTTGTGGGGGCAATGTTGTCTCTGGAATACACAAAATAAAAATTCTGGAACGTGACATCGTGGCTACCAAAACTTTCTGTCTTGGGTAGGCGTCAGCAAGCAGACAATGTTTGATCGCATACTGCTCAGAGAATAACAGCTTTCCTTTTCTCTTCTAGGAACAGCACGTGTAATTCTTCAACATTTGATGAATCAGAAGAGTGGCAAGTTGCTCAAGATGCCGAGATATGCTTGTTGAAGTCAGGAGAGATCATGTAAGCAGAACAGTTTCATCACTACCAGGCTGAAGGAGTGAAGTCAGCTGTCAGCTGTGTGAGCACAAGTCTTGCAGACTCCCACAAGAGCTGATTGCCTGTGTCTGAAGGCAGAATTTGGTCTGAGAAGCAGCAGGCAGCCCAGCTCTGCTAAGCTGAGCAGCAGCAGTGAGCCAAGCCCTCTCTCTTCACTTTTGTAAAACTGACTTGCAAGTGTGAGGGAGAAATAAAAAAGAGAGATTGAAATCCTCAGTCCAAAAACAAAACAAAAAAGAGAGCAGAGATTTAGGATCAGAAAAACTTCCTTCCTGTGGTTATTGCAGGAGGTGCCATGAACAGGGAGGGGCTTAGGAAGAGATCTCTGGACCTCCAGGCATCTCTGGACGCATCTGCAAGGGGAAGTCAGAGATTATAGTGCCAGTTGACCCTCTGTGCTGGGGAGGGAATTCAAGGCCTGTTATTTACTGGTGGCCCTCACGGCCTCACAGAAACTTCCTGCATCAAATATGCAGCTGAGCCTCAGCATAGTGTCTGTGAACTGTGTGTGCTCAATTCTCTGCATGCGAACACTGCTCAGAAATTAATAGTTGTGTGCAGCACATCACTTGCACAGCCATGGGGAGAATCCAACACACCAAAATCCCCGTGGCTTAGAGAAATTCCACTTTGTGGAATTTTTCACTCAGATCTGAATTTCTCACTCAGATCTGAATTTTTGGCTTAATTGTGGGAAGATCTTAAGCTTTTGCCTGCAATGAGGTAATGGGTCCTTTTTTCAATTTTGTTGGCTGCTGTTTGAAGGAGCGGGCAAATGAAGCAGTCACTAGGATCATAACTAGTGACTTGCAGTGAGTGGTGAGTTTGCAGTAGGGCAAAACCAGGAGTGATCCTTAATTTACTAAAGCCAAAGGTCACCTGAGACATGATAATAGTCATTTTACTTAAGAAGAAAAGCTAATGAGATAGTAAAACTTCATATAAAGTTTCCTCTGTGGACAGGCTACAGTAGTTACCATAATAGATCCATTTTATTCCCTATGCACTGCGTAGTAACAGCTGGAAATTGAATTATTTAGAACAGAAAACCCTCACACTAGCAGTGCATTAGCTTCTGGCAAATATGATGATTTTTGATAGCTTCTGACAGACATATCACAATACTGTGATTTACAGTGACCTGCTTGGGAAACAATTTATCTACTCTAGGGATTGACATGATATATCAGTTTTAGTTTAGTAGGTGAGATCCTCTGCTCTTAACAGTTTCTCCAGGTTTCCCCTGGAGAAGGTGATTCTCTCTCCTGTTTAAGCAGCTCATTGCAGTTTGAAATAGATGATCCAAATGTGGTAGGCTAGTAAAATGCTGTGGCACCCAGGAGTGCCAGTGAGAACTTCCTTTCTGGCTGGAGGCACTTTGAGTCAGCTTTTATGCAGTTTGAGCTGCTGCATTAAGTGCTCCCCAAAATCTGGAGAGTTGTTCATATTCAGCCCATCTATCCCCTTTGTCCCCCTGCTCCTCACTTCCTGCAGGAAGGTAGCTGAAAGGTGTGAATTAGGTGACAGCAGTTTGTGTTTAAAAAGAACAGCAGAGGGCAGCAGTTCCTTTATTATCATGGTAACCCTTGATTTAAAAAGCTTAATTCAAGCACTGGCTTTTTTTTTTTTTTTGATCAAAATGGAATAAATGAGTGACTAAAGTCCACTTTTGCCAGAGTAGTGAAGTGCTTGATATCAGTCACCTTTTATGTGGTTCCTGCATTCACCAAAAGGCTGCATCTTTTGCTGCATTTTGTGGCCTTAGATAGAAAACAAAAGGCAGTTTATTGTGTCTGTCTGAATAATTAGGTTGGATCTCTTTAAGTAATTGTGTTTTTCTCCCTCACAGGATAAAGTTACCCCTTACAGTGGAAGACATCCTAAATTTTGGGGAAGGCAACAGAGAGCTGTTCATTAAATCCAGCACTTACAGCATCATTCCCATCACTGTGACAGAGACAGGCCTGACAATTAGCTGGATATTTTCATCAGACCCGAAAAGCGTATCCTTCAGCGTGGTTTACCAAGAATCGGAAGAAGCGCCCCTGGATCAGTGCAAAGTAAGGCCTTTATTTCCCAATGTTTTTTTTTTTTTTCCTTTCCTTACAACCCGGCTATCTGTAGCACAGTACAGTCCAGCTGCCTTGTGGAGTCGGTCACCTGCAGGTATCCACAAGAGTTCCAGCTGCTCTTGCTTTTTAGGAAGTTGTTTTGCCAGAAAAATTACAATTCTACTGAATGCACAGGTACGTTTAATTATTAAATGTCATCTGGGAAAGTTGAGTTGAAAAGCATTGTAGCTTCAGTTGTTCACACTTGAAATTCACTTACCATTATTAAAATAAATGTCCAAGCCTGCAAAAAAGCCAATGTTACCTATTTTACAAGTTGCTTAAGGCTGATCTCGCCAAGCCCTTGAGCAGAGGCCACAAAGAAAGAGATTAATTGATTAAGTTATATGTGGTGGGTTTTTTTTTCCGCAGATAAGCACATACTTAAGTGCTTTGATGGATGCCTGCATGTTGCAAAATCACCCTGCCAGTGCCCAGGACACCTATTTTTTTATTATTTATTTGCATTGCCTGTATTTCATGAGGCTTGTGCCTTAAGTAAATTTGCATTACTCAGCTCATTGTGGAGTTTTAGTGAAAACAGGGCAGCTGTTGGTTCAATCTGCCTTGTTAGGGAGTGCTCTTATGCTGTGATTTCGCTGAGGGGAGAAGGCCACAAATACAGCGTGAGTTAATTCACTGCAGTTTACCTAACTCTCTGTAAAATCTCTGTTCTCTTCCTATGAAGGCCTAGCTTTTGTCAATAGTTTTGTCTTGATGCATTTATTTCATACAGTTTGGGTTGTATAGGATTGACCTTGATCCATGTCAGCTATTGTGCTGAGGTGAAAACCACCTTTTGCAGCAAGTTAACCACCTAGTTTTGCTATAAATTTAGACAAACAGTTAAGATTTGCTGAGGAAGCTTGTTTTTATACTACCAGGAGTATAAAAGGGCATTGTAAATGACATACTTGAGATGATTACTTTAGATGAGATTTATAGCCATAGCTTAATGTTAGAAAAAAGTTATCAAAGGAAAATGGATGTCACGCTATGAGATCCCAGTGTAGGTGAATTTTTAATGCTAATCAGTAAATATAAATATAGTTTTGAAGGCATTTATGCACTTCAGGATTTTCAAGATGTCTCAGGATTAAATATATTTTTTTCACGAAGGTAAATGTCAACTTCTAGAGCAAACAATAACTTTCATTTTGATTTGTATTTAATTCCAGGTTCTTATTCCTATGACACGCTGCAACTCACATAAGGAAACTATCAGAGGCCAGGTGAAAGTCAGAAATTCTGGTATCTACATGCTAATCTTTGACAACACATTTTCTAGGTAGGTCCTAACTGAGTGTAAAAGGTGAAATAGGTTTTTTTTTTTTTTTCAGATTATGGCATTGATGGGATATACTGTTGCTTTTACTGGTGTGAAATGGAACTAAGTACTGTAAATTGGTTCCAGCTTGCCTAAAGAACTTCAGCCTGGCTTTGTTTTTTTGTCATTCCCCGCCACATAGCATAATTCCACTTTTCAGTCTTGACCTCTGAGAAAGTAAACAGAATAAGCAGGTAATTTACAACTCTTTTCAGGTCAGATTACTCAGGATTGTCATTTTATAAACAACAGGTCTGACAGCTGTCCTGCAGACAAAACTTTTTTTCAGCCACAAGTGGGGTTTTTGCCTGAATGTAACCTGGAAATTGGATACACTGTTAAGGCTTTCTGACTAGCTGACATCATCTAACACGATCATCTCATCCTGTTTTTTCTTTCTCTACAGATTTATCTCAAAAAGAGTATTTTATCACTTGACTGTCGAGCGACCTGTCATCTATGATGGAAGTGATTTTCCATAGCCTTGAAAATACTGTGTTATTTTTAACTATATTTTTAAGAAATGCTATTATTTATGTATATGCAAGCAATATGACTACCACTGTTTGAACACTTTGAAACTATGCAATAGTTATAACGCACTTAGAGATCATGTACACACTAGGAAAAAGAAGCTGTTTTAGGAACACTAATGTTCTGTACTGTGTACAGATTGCTCAAAAGCCATGTTGCTTGATTTAACAGGTCAAGTAATGTTTCAATTTGATTTTTCTTCAGGGGGGAGAAAAATAAAGGAGGAGCTCTCTAAGTGAAAACCCAAATTCTTCACTCAAAACTGCATGACCTTTCTTCCCCCCTGCCCGAAAAAGTTCAGAAGGAAACTTAAAGAAAAATGCTTATTTTTGTTGACCTCTTTAGTGGAGAATAAGCATACCTATTTCTGTTCTGCTCATAGTGTCAGAACAGCTATGCAATACATCAGTCTTTGTAGACATGTATTCTAATCCACCTAGAATTTTTTATCTTTTTAAGGTTTTATAAACAGCAAATATAGAGGGTTTTTTTACATTTTGGGCTAAGATTCCTTGAGTCTTAACTGGCTTTTAGAAATGCTCTGGTACTGCATACCAATTACAAAACACTCAAACATGAAGCACCAACTCCTTCCACTTCTGCTCACCATACTCTGTAAGTTGATGCACTGAAGTCAGCACTTAAAGTGGACACCAGTGGCAAAATCAGGAGTCTAATTTGCAGAATAAAGTACCACTCACTGTGTGATTTTTGGGAAGAGGAGCATCTCTTTTTCCTGCTTTAGCACCTTAGTCATCAGCATTCACAGGAAAGCACAGTCCCTAAGCAGATCTTGCTCTAGACCAAGTGGAAAGTAGCAATAATATTTGAAATGGTCTCAAAAAGTCCATCCAAAACTGAATTAATATCAAGCCCTAAGCAGCTCACCATCTTGTGTCAGTGCATTTTGCCCATTTCCTTACTCTTGCTTTCATCTCAGCTTCTCAGTATTTGCTGGGCTGTAGCAAACTGCTAACTTTTCATCTTAAATGTGGGACAGAGCTTTCTGTAAACATACTGCCTGCTGGGGGAAGGAAGAGTAGATTTTCATTTACATAAAATTTTCACGTAAGCTGTCTGCTTTCTATATAGAATTTCAACTTTTTGTCAAAATAACTGAAAGCAGAAAACAGGGAGCTTCTCCAGCCGGGCTGTCTGGCCCATTGACGACATTCCCTTCCCTTTAGGTGCTTCTGTATTTACGACATTTAAGTGCAAACACTCTATTTAGACTGTGCAGCACCTGCCAAGCAGAGGTGGCTCCCGGGAGGAGAGGTGCAAGGTGCAGCCTGCAGGGCCCACGCGGTTAAACCCTCACCTGGCTGCCTGAGTCGGGCAAGAAACTGACGGGGGCAATAAGCAATGCACTGAGCACTTCATGAATTAAGGCGTATTTCAGTGTTGAAGCTATATTTTATATTTAATTAATCAAGAAGAGATTATTTATTGCTTAAAAATGGAATACTGTGTACCGTATGCTATGCAATTTCCCAGGACTGTAACTGAAGTCTGCTGAAGTTTTCCTTAAGCTTTTAGGTGTGGTTTTTTTGAAAGCATTTTGCTGTTGTTTTAGTTAGAATACTAATCTCACTAGGATATCTTTCTTAAAATGCCAAATGTAAGTTAAAGGGACACTGTCAAATGTATCAGGTCATAGTATTACCTATCTGCTCAGATGTATTTCAGTTATGTCTAATAATGTGTTTGACAGAGTTGCCTCTGGGTTTCCTCTTTGCATCCTACTCTTAACATTGGTTTTTGTTTTCTTGGGTTTTTTTTTTTTTTTGCATCCTGTAGCATATATTTTTAAGCTACTATTTATGTAATTCTTAAAATAATTGGCTCTGACCTGTTCAGTAAGGGAGAGGAGACTAAAAACAACAAGGTCTTTTTATTTAGCCTTTCAGTCTTCAGAGTACCTTTTCTTCAGATTTTCCTGCCCTGTGAGAATAGTTTTGTGGTTTCTTTGCTTTCTGAGAGAGGAAGAAGAGTAGAAGCCAACACCTGTAATTTAAATATATATATGTGTGTGTGTGTGTATTTGCTTCTAACCAAGGAGGAGCGTATTTAAGAAGAAGTTTCAAACGAGGAAATACTTAACAGGGTAGAGCACAACAGGTGAACAAAAGTGCACGGGTTCAAAGGAACTGTTTAAGGAGAGTGGGAATCCCACTGTGCAGCCTGGAAGAGGGGCACTTTTCCACCTCAGAGGCTGTGCCAAGAAGACAGTGAAGAACTTGTCGTTATCTGACCTTTGTTTGATCGTCCCAGACCTTTCATTAACAGAGTCGTGGGAGCCTGACTTATTACGAGGACTTACTACAAGAACTGATCCCATTCGAGCACCTTATAGCCCCGTTTGGAGGGAACTTGTGCACGTGAGAAGCTCCAGCGACACCAACACCTCCGTTTGCCTGCACATGTTCAGGTGTCCTGCTGAGGCAGGCCCTCCATGAACTGACCATCGCCGGCAGTGCAAATCAGAGGAAAGAAATACTGGAAATTGACCATCAAATTAATTTAAGGGAGCAAAGAGTATGTGTTGTGGATAGACAAGCAACCAGGTGTTTTTCCTGGGAGCTGGAAAAGTGGAAAGCTGTACTTTTTCTTATACACAGGTTTCTGCAAGGAAAGGGCATCATTGCTTTAAGAACATGGCAGTGTTCCTTTAAATTTCTATGAATGTTACTCCACATTGCTTTAGGAAAAATCACTGACATCTATTGCACAAGAGTTTACTGCATTGCAGAGTAGCAAAGCTGCAAAAGGCTGATTTTGCTCCTTTTTAAAAATTTAAATTGCACTATAGTTTTAATAAAGCTCACTCTCATATATATTGTAAGTTGTTCAGAAACATCTCTTGCTCTTACTTGCCAAAGGATTGCACAGCCTGTTCACATCAAACTTCACGTTCCAGAAGGGGGAGAAAAAGATTTACGTATGCCAGTGTTTGTACAGTTACAGGGACGTAGGCGATTGTGTACGGGAATGTTTCTTGATGTTTTCTTTTCCTTTTTTAACCTCAGGAATTAAATAAACAAAAATCTACATCACTAAGCGCATACGTCACTTTTCACCTTGTAGAGATGGCTTTGCCCTGACACTTGTGTGACCTGCTTCTGGGCAGGAAGAAAATCCTAGAAAATGAGGATTATTCCTGCAGTCTGTCTCACTAGTCGAGGTGTGCAGGGCACAGCTGCACAGAGCAGCACAGCAACAGCAGAGATCCTTAAATCAGGGTGAGTGAGTTAGTCCTGGTTCCTATCTTCGCGGGGTGGGGAGGGAAACATCTGTATTTGCACGTGTAGTCACAGCCCTGTGGCACGTGGCAGATGTGCAGGCTCATCTGAGCTTCTGGGGTCACACCTAGATGGCATGTGCTCTATCAGGAGGATAACAGGCTCTGCCAGGAGCGGTCGTCACTGTTTTTTACCTTATTTCTGCTTCGGTGGCGGCCTCGGCTGTTAGGTGCAGGCTGAGCTGCTTCCCTGCCCCTGCTCAGAGGCAGCTGTTTGAAATCAAGTCTTCTCTGAAGCCTAGCCTGGAGTTCAAGGGACAGCAAAGGTTAAGTTTTATATTACTAAATATAATGTACCCACATGCGAGGAACTCTATCAACTCTGTAGGGGAGGTTGTAACTGTCGAAAGTCCATACCTGCGCCCCCAGGAATGGACATGGAGCCATGCTCATCAAGACCGTGTTCCTCGGGTGTGTGGGCGAGGCACTCTCAGCTCTCGGTCTGTCTTGTGCAGGATTTTAACCTGCCAGTTTCGTAGCATCTATCCCAGCCCCAGCTTTGGCACGCTTTAGGGCATTCTGCTGCGTGGGCTGGGTGCTTCTGCGGTAGGTGGTGCTTTTCCCCAGCTTTCATAGAATCATAGGATCGTTAAGGTTGGAAAGGACCTCTAGAGATCATCCAGTCCAACCCCCCTGCACACGCAGGGTCACCTAGAGCACGTGGCACAGGACTGCGTCCAAGCGGGTTTTGAAGATCTCCAGAGAAGGGGATTCCACAACCTCTCTGGGCAGCCTGTTCCAGTGCTCTGTCACCCTCACTTTAAAAAAAAAAAATCCTTAAGCTCCTGTGGAACTTTTGGTGTTTCAGTTTGTGGCCATTACCTCTAGTTCTGTCAGTGGCCACCACTGAAAGGAGGCCAGCACCATCCTCCTCGCCGCCTCCCCTGAGGTACTCGTATACACTGATCAGGTC